TGATGGAAAAATCTTAACAGATCGTATAAAAGATCCCTCTGGTTTGAAAGCACTGAATACTTTCATCAAATCAACTGATTTGAGATTATCCCAATCAAGATTCACGCATGCAAATCGATGTGTTTGTGCTCCGCGTGGAATATTCTCTGCTTCGTCCTGAGACTGTTGATCATCGGCTATATGCCCATCATCTGCATCAGATTCAGATTCAGGTTCAGATTCAGAAGACGAGGATACCAGACCCTCGCCTCTTGCTCGGTCGTATGTAGACTGCGATAGATCAGGATCAGATACATCGTCAGTAAAATCAGGTTTGTCTTTTTCGTTCTTCTCCCCCAAAGTATAAAAACGTCGTAGTTCTTGTTCAGCGTAGTTAGATGGCAGGTTGCGACCATATTTGTCAACCTTAGCTTTATTCAAATCAAAAATATGTTAAATTTAACTTTACGATTGACAACATTTACGAAAACATCGGTGTGCTGCCAACGTACGTGTATCACTGAAATCTTTTGTGTTCAACATCTGTTTAAAACGCTCATCTATTTTCACTTTCATGTCCCTTCTCTTGGGACGAATGAAACGAGGATCATCGTGAACATGCGCAAAACGAGGGTCATCAGTGATTACTCTATCGCTATCCTTTTGATTAATCTTTGTTTTATTCGAATTCTTTTTTAGAGGATCTTGTTTCATCGATGATGACTTTGAGGACATTTGTAAAAAAGAGAAGGAAGAAAACCCGCCAGATCGATTTATGTTATATTTAAAAAAAAAGTCTTGGTGTTACAATAACCATAGTTACACAAGATATTAATACATCACGCTTGCTTGTTTACTATTTATTATATATGTAAGCTGTTCAGAGCAGTGTATTCTTTAAACAAACACCGTGACGTCCGTTTGTAGCATATACGGAACGTATATTGCAAAGAGTGCGGCGTTAAAATATACAATAGTAAGGGGTCTAGAGAAAATTGATCTACGCGCTAGCAAATTTCCCGAAAATACCATAGAAATTTCCTAACAATCTCCGACTTCCTTACTCTGTGTGTCGTTCTCAACTTACAAACTTACTTTCTATATAATGGATATAGATAAAAACGCTGATATGCCCGACACTTCCTCATTGGCTTCTAAGGGCAAGGTCAAGGAAGACGTTTCTTTGACTGCTAATGCGTCAGTCAAGAATCCAGAGACTGCAACTCCAGCATCTACGACTACGCCCAAACCAATAGTTCACTTAACAAAAAGAGAAGAAGAATTTATGCGAAAAGATAAAAACTTGGCCGAGTTTTTGCCAATGTTAGATGATCTCGAACCGCTTGTGAGTTATTATTTGTAGACTAGGCACTTCAAAAAAAATGGTTCGCAGTTCGCTGTTGACAAAGCTAACAATTTGCGTGGATTTGCTGTTTAATAGATACCTGATTCTGTAACAGACTATTATCTAGCGAGGTCAGGTTTTGCAGCTGATGACATCAGAATGTAAGTCATGGAATTAACTGTAATCGCCCTAGCGAACGTACTCTCTTTTCTTTTGATCACGGCAAACTCGATATTTCATCTCATATATGATTTTACTTCGATTTAGTAAACGTTTAATGTCATTGGCAGCTCAAAAGTTCATAGCAGATATTGTTACAGATGCTTTCCAATATTGTAAAATACGACAACAGAACAAAAAGAACATAACCAAGGTAGATACCAGTTCTCTTTTCTAATTCAGGAAACTGATCTAGACATTAAATTTTACTGATATCCAATTCACTCGTAATAGCGCAACAAGACAGTCTTAAATCTTGAGGAATTAGCAGCAGCGTTATCGGAGTACGGTATCAACATTAAAAAGCCGGATTATTATCGCGCTTAATATATATACACATAAACATATACACATACACATATTGGTCAATTAGACTAGACTTTAGCTTAATTATGTCAATTGCTTGCACTATCAACAGATAGTTTACATAGTGGATGTTTTTCTCCTTGGTATTTGAAAAGAGCGTTCCAATTTTTACCGATTACACACTTGTTGATGATCGTGTATATACAATATCCTAAATTATATTTATTGTTTAATTTTACGTCTTTTCATCATCATCACTCTCTTCCTCGTAGACGTAATCGGGATCATTTTCATCATCATAATTGCTCGAGATACTCTCATCACTTTCATCATTTGCATCGTCCATGGGGTCATCACGGTCATTGTTATTTGCCTCATTCTTATTATCCTCAACATCCATCTCACCCTGTCCTATACTATTTAATGGTTTCTTCCCTCTTTTAACTTTCCTCTTTTTAGATTTCATTGTCCTCTTCGCACCCGCTTTTCTCTTAACGCCTTTACTTTGTTCCATGTCATCTACATCTATATCAGTTTCTTGTTCGCATCCCTCCATATTCCAGTATCGCTTGTATCGTTTCTCAAACTGCTTCTCTCCAGCATACTCGTTTTTTGCTTCTCGGTTTGCTATCACCCATTTGTACAATAAATTGGCCTCTAGATGCGTATTTCTTGCACCACGGACTGTCACTAATACCATCCATGCATCGCTACATATGGAATTAACATCTACTTTACTCCCCTTTAATTCAATCTCATACAGCTTCTCATCCTTGCCCATTTGATCCTTTTCGTATACTTGTCGAAGTCTTTTGACTAAATCCATAGACTTGGTAGCTGAGATGAGTAGCCCTTCATAAAACATTTCGTCCTGAAATGACACTTCATATTTGTGAATATATTCCTTGGTTTTGGAATAAGCTTCCCATAACCTTTGAGTTTCGTGTTCTATGTCTGATAATGAGCGTCGTTCCCCCGACGCTGAGTATATGAAATCAATAAAATCTGAGAGAAGCGTGTAGAAATTAACGAGTACTTCTACTCGATCTGAGCGTCTTTGGAGGTTATCATCAGCGGCGATGATATCTTCAAGAGGAGTGTCAAGTAATTGAGAGACAAGCGGATCCGGTTCAGTCGTCATGTTTTTTATTAAAATAGGATATCTTATTTGTATCCGTGGCAGCAAATTGTGAATACGTGGCGTCATAGGTGGCTTAGACTTTGTTTATGCTTATGCAAATACAGTACAATGAATTCTTTCGTCGATTTTGCGAGATATACGTTTACCGCTTTCACCCAAAGGCCACTACTTATAATTATATTCTGACGAGGGTTTTAAAATTTTACTGTTCCAGCAGAAAGGAAACTATTTCTATGTGGTCTCTCGAAATGGTACTTGCTAAGCTTGCTCATTTTGGTAAACAAGTTAATTTGCCTTTCAATCGAAAACTTGAAAAGGTTCTATTTATCTTTACAAAAAATATACTCTTTGCCACTCTGTCCCAGCAATCAGTATATAGACTTTTATATTCCTATGGCGTTCCTGGGACTACATTATGTCGACCACCTTTCAGCTGTAGATTTGAATATCCAAGTTAGTTTTTGAATTCGCTGCGTGGTCATCATGGATTAGTTCATGAATACGCATTCGCAATTTGAGCTCACTTGGAATTCAGATCTTTAGGAATTGTCGAATATTTATTCCTATAATTGTCCTTTTTTACGTTCTGGTAAAGCTTCGCACTGAAAATTATTGGTTGTATTCCCTGTGTATACTGAGCAAAGGTTAACCATTTTTGATACGAATTCGACTCGGCCCGTAGAGTTTGCTAGTACGTCGGCATAGGAACGCGTCTAACTTAGAAAAATTTCCCGAACGATAGACTTTCACCTTATACTTATCCCAGTGAATTATAATCGCGCGTCCACCTTTGAGGATTAAATATAATTATTTACTATTACAGGATGCATATACTATTTGATAATACTCGTAAGTAGGAGCATCACAATGTGGTCACGCAAACGCTCAGGTATCAGTTAGAAAAGTTGGTTGATATTGAGAAAGCATCCACACAGAATGGGAAGCAAAAAACAATTTATTAAAAAAAGAAGACAACTTCTGAGTTTGGATCATCTGCTAATGATATTGGGCTTGCTTTGGATTTTTTATTAGTATTGTACTCTCAACTATTAGGTCCAATCTTCCTATTTAAAATGCTGCTGATATTAATATTGATATTGATATTATAGTCACAGAGGATCTTAATCTGATATCAACCAAAATGCTAGACCAATACTGCATTGCGATTTTGCCACTGCCATTGCCCTCTATTACTATTGGCGGAGCACCGAGCTAGCATTTTGTCCTCCCTACTTATACTGCAATCATAACATTTATATTTATATCACCTTGGTTGGTATTGCTTGTAATTACTGTATCCGTTGAATGACGGCTGATTGCATGGATAGAACCATTTGTACTGTGCCTCTGCAAATTGGTCAGTAAACGAAAACAGCTCTGGAATCAATGGATCACTAAAAAAAGGTTATTGAAAATGATTGAAAAACTGTGACTAGTATTTGTATTAGCATTCTAATCGATGGTAATAATCCATTGGTGAATTGACTGACTTCATTGTTGCTTTCATCTTTCTAGTAACTTTTAAACATGGAATAGATATCCTTATTCTTATCTGATTTTAAACATCC